ACTAATAAAGATAAAGACTGTCAACACCACATCATCAGCTACCGTGGTCTTAATGAATACAATCTGAAAGTAATCCAACTGATGAGATGAAAGCTTGATACGATGTAAACTATGCATTTCACATACTGTACTGTGAAAATATATCAACAATATATTAAATTCAGGGGCTTAAAACAGTGTTTAAATCCTTGTTTTCATTTGATCTACTGGAATATAAGACTAATAGATTATTCTACAGGGAGTGCAGAATTATTAGGCAAATGAGTATTTTGTCCACATCATCCTCTTCATGCATGTTGTCTTACTCCAAGCTGTATAGGCTCGAAAGCCTACTACCAATTAAGCATATTAGGTGATGTGCATCTCTGTAATGAGAAGGGGTGTGGTCTAATGACATCAACACCCTATATCAGGTGTGCATAATTATTAGGCAACGTCCTTTCCTTTGGCAAAATGGGTCAAAAGAAGGACTTGACAGGCTCAGAAAAGTCAAAAATAGTGAGATATCTTGCAGAGGGATGCAGCAGTCTCAAAATTGCAAAGCTTCTGAAGCGTGATCATCGAACAATCAAGCGTTTCATTCAAAATAGTCAACAGGGTCGCAAGAAGCGTGTGGAAAAACCAAGGCGCAAAATAACTGCCCATGAACTGAGAAAAGTCAAGCGTGCAGCTGCCAAGATGCCACTTGCCACCAGTTTGGCCATATTTCAGAGCTGCAACATCACTGGAGTGCCCAAAAGCACAAGGTGTGCAATACTCAGAGACATGGCCAAGGTAAGAAAGGCTGAAAGACGACCACCACTGAACAAGACACACAAGCTGAAACGTCAAGACTGGGCCAAGAAATATCTCAAGACTGGTTTTTCTAAGGTTTTATGGACTGATGAAATGAGAGTGAGTCTTGATGGGCCAGATGGATGGGCCCGTGGCTGGATTGGTAAAGGGCAGAGAGCTCCAGTCCGACTCAGACGCCAGCAAGGTGGAGGTGGAGTACTGGTTTGGGCTGGTATCATCAAAGATGAGCTTGTGGGGCCTTTTCGGGTTGAGGATGGAGTCAAGCTCAACTCCCAGTCCTACTGCCAGTTTCTGGAAGACACCTTCTTCAAGCAGTGGTACAGGAAGAAGTCTGCATCCTTCAAGAAAAACATGATTTTCATGCAGGACAATGCTCCATCACACGCGTCCAAGTACTCCACAGCGTGGCTGGCAAGAAAGGGTATAAAAGAAGAAAAACTAATGACATGGCCTCCTTGTTCACCTGATCTGAACCCCATTGAGAACCTGTGGTCCATCATCAAATGTGAGATTTACAAGGAGGGAAAACAGTACACCTCTCTGAACAGTGTCTGGGAGGCTGTGGTTGCTGCTGCACGCAATGTTGATGGTGAACAGATCAAAACACTGACAGAATCCATGGATGGCAGGCTTTTGAGTGTCCTTGCAAAGAAAGGTGGCTATATTGGTCGCTGATTTGTTTTTGTTTTGTTTTTGAATGTCAGAAATGTATATTTGTGAATGTGGAGATGTTATATTGGTTTCACTGGTAAAAATAAATAATTGAAATGGGTATATATTTGTTTTTTGTTAAGTTGCCTAATAATTATGCACAGTAATAGTCACCTGCACACACAGATATCCCCCTAAAATAGCTAAAACTAAAAACAAACTAAAAACTACTTCCAAAAACATTCAGCTTTGATATTAATGAGTTTTTTGGGTTCATTGAGAACATGGTTGTTGTTCAATAATAAAATTATTCCTCAAAAATACAACTTGCCTAATAATTCTGCACTCCCTGTATGAGGTTAACAATTGCGATATTTCTGCGCACAAGAGGTCCTTGAATCACTTTGCTGTTGACTTTGTTGACAGCAATGAAGGCAGTGAAAGAACTGCTCACTCCTGATTGGACACTGAGCTGCACCACCTTCTCCTTCACTCCTCCATCTTGCTGTCCTCTTGCTCTCTCTCCTCCATCTCCAGGGACGAATCAGAGTCGAGCACCCAACCTGTGGACTGTTAGTCTGCAGACAAGAACGAAAACATTACGGGGTCATAACGTTTGTCATTTTGCTACATTACATTTTGTTAACTACATTACATTTTTGTTACACTCTGGGTTTTACCTTTGACACTGGCACCCCAATAGATTCTTCCATATGCTAGAAAAATGCATGAAAATCTACTACTCAGTGCTTTTGCACAAAACTATAACGATTTCCTTTCTAGACGTGGACTAACGTATATACACATATAAACACACACACACACACACACACACACACACACACACACACACACACACACACACACACACAATATATATACGTTTCTGAAACGACTGTTTTGAATTCAATACGTGGAAACTCAATTTAAAACAGAAGTGTTGTTTGTGTTAAACTGTTTTACCCAGTGTCCTCTGCAGGTCTGAGACTGAAGTGCAGCTGGTTCTCAGAGGGATGACCTGCCAGGCTGTACTTCAGCGTCACACAGCCCTCTGCTGCCTCTGAGCTCTGACACAGAATTACAGTGTTAGAAGTCACGTTAATCACTGTCATCAAATACCTAAACAACAACATGAGAGGCTGCTGCTCCTACCTGTCCAGTGAGCTGGGCATAAATCAGTGACCTCTGACCCTGGAAAAGTGTTGTGATTGGTGGAGAGAGGACAGTGACAGACACTTCCTTTGGTAAATCCCATGTGACTGAGATGTCGACCACAACCGGCTGCAGAGCAAATCGCAGCGACTGCATCACCTGAAAAATAATGAAAAACTCTCCAAATATACACAAACAGCTGGAACAGACATTTTACTCACTGCAGGTCTGATCTCAAATATGCATCTGCTCTCTTACAGGTAACTCAGTCTTAGATGGAACCCCAGGCACATTAAATGACACAGAAGAAAACACTTCCACCCCACCCCCTACACAAGTAACATCATGGCCTGTGGAACTCTCTTTCAATCCAAGTGTGGTGTCAGGGGCCCCTACAAGATCACTAGGCCTGTCCAAGATCCTCTCTGAAACAAATTCACTTGGCTGTGACTCCCCAGTGTTGGAACTCACAGTCTGAGTGGGTCTTACTCCCTGTTCGTGGAAGCCAGACGAACAGACCACACCATTCACAGTACCAGAGTCAGCCATTTCCACACTATGTGTCTCTGTTAACTTTGACCCGTGGCTCTGTGATTCTGAGTCTAATTCATCTTCTACGGCTTCGATGGAAGCTGGTGATGACAGGTTGCACTCACTCACCTCCGGTCGTTGCGCGATGCGGTGGCGACGCGAGCGCCGTCTCCTCTTGGCCGAGAGCCCCGTTAACGTGGAAAGTGGAGCCTCTTGCGGCGCTGCAGAGGCTGAGGAGGCGAGGGTTGGCGGAGCATCAGGCGGGAGCTCCTGGCAACTCCGGGGGCCCCCAAAGGCCAGGCGTGTCCCGCGGAAAATCTCACCGTAGTGAGGAGCGAGCCCTGGCTTCCCCCGTAGCTCCTCCTCCAGTTGCGCGCATGCGGCGCGCTGTCGCTCCTCGAGGTCGAAAGTCATCACCTCCACAGCCTCCTCGTGTCGCTCAGTGGAGGGCGAGACATGCCGTAGCGATGAGCGACGGCGACGAGAACGCCGCTTCCGTCTTGAAGTGGACGCGGACGTAACTTGGATTTCTGTGGCGACCGGCTCCTCGTCTTCCGACCACATCCGCGCCAGATAAGAAGCGGGAGAAGAGTAGTCCGATCGAGGCGGCGAGGATGGGCGGCCGGTCCGAGGCGGGGCGGCTGGCGGAAGCTCCTCCTTGGTGATAAGCCAGGGCTTCCAGCGTAGCTCGTCCTCCCGATACGCCCGCAACACCTGCTGTCGCTCCTCCTCACCGAAGTCAACAGCCTCGGGCATCTCCGTGCATGCAGGCGGTGGCGAAGATGCGGAAGCTGATGAAGTGTGAGCCAATGGTGTGTCGGTGGTGAGCCTCACTGTTCCGACTCTGACCGCTACCGGCTCTTGAGGCCGCGGGGTAACATCGCAACAGCATGGCTCTGGCGAAGGCGCACGCACACCGGGCCGCTGCGGCTGCGGACGGAGTTGGAGAGTGGTGACGAGAAAGTCAACGATCAGTGGGTGTAGTGCCTCCCATAACCAGGGAAATACAGACACGCATACTCCCACTTGGCGGGCCAACTCCTCCCGTTCCTCCACTCCGGAACACTGCAGCCAGTTAGTACAAAGCGCCTCCACCGTCTGGATGATCTCCCTCTCGTGTGTCGCTGGGTCCGGCATGGTCGCGTCGTACTGTCGCGGTCTGCGGAGGCAGACCGTGCGGGAATGGCCCGTTCAGCCTCACGCCACGTCAGCTGGAGGGTCCGTTGGGTCCGTTCAGCCTCATGCCATGTCAGCTGGGGGGCCCGAGGAGCCCGTTCAGCCTCACGCCGCGTCAGCTGGGGGGCCCGAGAAGCCCATCCGGCCATCGTCTGCTGCAGCTCCAGCCTGTGCTTCGTCTGCTTGCAGCTCCAGCCTGTGCTTCGTCTGCTGCAGCTCCAGCCTGTGCTTCGTCTGCTGCAGCTCCAGCCTGTGCTTCGTCTGCTGCAGCCTCAGAGTCTTCGTCTGCCGCAGCCTCAGAGTCTTCGTCTGCCGCAGCCTCAGAGTCTTCGTCTGGCCCCGCCGCAGCCTCAGAGTCTTCGTCTGGCCCCGCCTCGACTGGTCCCGTGCACACCGGGCCTCGGCCAGTACACCTGACACTGGAGAGCCGCCGCTGCCTTCCGCGCGGCCGGCCTCCTGAACTGCTCCGTCGTCGCCTTCGCCGCCGCTGCCTTCCGCACGGCCGGCCTCCTGAACTGCTCCGTCGTCTCCTTCACCGCCGCCGCTGCCTTCCGCGCGGCCGGCTCCGGATCTCTTCTGTCACCGTGGCCACCTTTCCCGTGGCCGGCCTCCGGAACGGTTGGACTGGACTTTTGTGTTGTCGCCTCTCGGGTTGGCCTTCGGGCCTCTTTGGACATTCGCCTTCCTGTTCTGGACTCTTTTGTGTATTTGTGGGCTCAGTTTTGTTCTCGTGCTCCTTGTTTTTGGTTCGTTTTGTTCCCTCCGTCCTGGTCCCCCGCCTCCCGCCCTGGGTGGGGTGTTTTCTGTTTTGCTTGTGTTTTGGTTCCTGGGTTTGGGCTGTCGGGAGCCAGCCCTTGTGGGGGGGGTACTGTCATGGTCCTGGGTCGTGCGACCCAGTATTTTGTGTTTAGTCTATTTTGATGTTTATTGATTGTTTCGGTTCATTAAGTTAGTCCAGCCATCTGTATATATCACCCTTGCATTACGTCTCCCTTGCCCTTCGTGTGTTTATGTCTGTGTGTCTTGTACTGTCCAGTTCATGCTGTCAGTTATGTCACCTCCCCCTGTACTACGTCTCCCCGGTTCATGTCTCATGTTTCCTGTTTTACTTTGAAGGCCTGCATTCACTGTCAGTGTATTCAGTTTCACTCCTCCTGTCCTGTCGTTAAGTTCATGTGTGTCAGCTGCGTCCCCATGTGTGGCCACTTCCCCTGATCATCCCTCATGTGTATTTAGTCTCTGTGTTTCATGTAGTCTGCGTCGCGTCGTCTGTGTTACCACCCCCTGTGTTCCGTATCTCCAGCCATAGCTTTTTCTTAGTTTATGTCCAGTTTAGGTTTTCTGTTTGAACTATTACCCTTATACTGCCCTCGCTCTGGTTTGTTCTGTTATCAGCCATAATAAAAGGCTCGCTTTTGTTTAATCCACTCCTGCATCTTCGCTTGTGTTCGCGTCTGGGTCCAACACACACATTCCCACACGGTCTATCTCCACGGACCGTGACAGTCAGACTCCTGAACTCTGCCTCCTGACATCTGACCCACGTTAACACATGGACTGAACATACACACACCCACAATGGACAACTGTACCCTCAAACACACAATAATAACATGGACTGAACCACCACTCACAACCACTAGCACTTTATATAGCCTCTGTAGGAATTATATCTCACTTATCTTAACTGCACTACTGTATAGCTCTGTGTAAATAATCATTCTGTACATTGATAATTTTTAATCCTACAACTGTTTACAACTTGCATAGTTCCCATTTCTGTATAGCTGTATATCTCAGATTTCTGTAAAGTTATTTATTTCATATTCTGTATAGTTTTTCATATTTATATCCTGTTCATAGCCTGTACATAGCTTGTACTCACTACAGCCTGTACATACTTATAGTTATAGAATATTCACAACATACTTCATACCGTGTACATTATAACATACCATAATAGACCCATTTCTGTAATATACTCACATATCTATATTATTGCTAATATATATTGTAATATATCTATATCACTAAAGCACTTCTGGATGGATGCAAACTGCATTTCGTTGCCCTGTACCTGTGCATGTGCAATGACAATAAAGTTGAATTCTATTCTATTCTATCTATAGAGATTGAAAATGTGACGTCATTCAGGGGTAAAACCGCAAAGAATTCTGGGAACTCGTGGCAAGAGGTACTAGCGCACGCAGGCTTTCAATTGAAATCAGTTACACAGCGATAAAAAGAAACACAAAAAATGGCAAGAAGCTGTTGTATTATTAACTGCAATAGCCGGTCGCATGACAGCCACGGGAAGCCGACGGGTAAAGAGATCGGTTGTTATCGGATTACGTCGTTGAAGAGAAATTGTTCGAGCCATGTTTCCGAAGTAACAAAGAGGCGACTGGATTGCAGCCATTCAAAGACAAAATATAACGTCCCAGAACACTCCAGCTCACAGGTTAGTCTGCTCCAAGCATTTCCACAAAGGTCAGTCTGCTGTTGTAGTTAATGCGTCATTTTTCTTAACATAATTGGTGATATAGGTTACAAGCAAGTCTGGCGCTGAACAGAAATTGTCCGCTCCTTTGTTTATTGTGCATAAATAGTGAATTGTCCTGACACAATATTGCGTTTCGCTTCTCCCTTTCTCACTCACTATGTATTAATAGACCTCTCTGCATTGAATCATATCTGTTATTAACCTCTGTCTCTCTTCCACAGCATGTCTTTATCCTGTCTTCCTTCTCTCACCCCAACCGGTCGCAGCAGATGGCCCGCCCCTCCCTGAGCCTGGTTCTGCCGGAGGTTTCTTCCTGTTAAAAGGGAGTTTTTCCTTCCCACTGTCGCCAAAGTGCTTGCTCATAGGGGGTCATATGATTGTTGGGTTTTTCTCTGTATCTATGAAGCGCCTTGAGGCGACTTTTGTTGTGATTTGGCGCTATATAAATAAAATTGAATTGAATTGTTAATTCCATGGTACATAGACAAAAACATATACTTTTATTCACAGGGATAAAACAGTTGTTTTGTATCACTAATTGCCCAGTGACGATTACAGCATACAATATTATTGTCACTGCTACATTTCTGTAATGCGATACCAGAAATTATTTCCACTACTAATTAATTACGTTGAGCTTAAAGGTCCTATTAATAAACGGTTAACGAATGTGTATTTATGAATTATAAATATGAGCGTGGTGAAAGTTTGGCAGCACGCTAACGTATTTTGTCCCTCTGTGTGCTCGTAAGGGTCTGACCCTTTCACTGGTTTGATTTTTTTCCTCGTATCTTTTCTTTGACTTTTCATCAAGTCTGTCTTTGTACGGACCGGCATTGTTCTCCTTCTTGTTTGTACATTCCTTTTTGGTGGTGGCAAAGAAAAAACAAGAATGGTATTGGAACCGAAGAATGAACGTTTTGCGGTGCTGCAAATGCTTGCATTTGATGCGGTACTTGGATTGTTTTGCCACGAGTTCACGGCATGCAATGCGCGAAAGTCA